CTATTACAAACGCCAAAAATATATATTATTTTAATATAGGTGGTAACGTATTTCACTGGTGAGCGGGCCACCTCCGTATCCCATACTAAACAGTCACTTTTTAAGGTCTGATATCTCAACCATCATTAGCTATATTATAATAATATACTTATAGAAGCTGTATATAGGCTTTCAGAACATGTTTTTCTACTTTATATAACTATAACTTATTTTAAGTGCTTGTAATATTAGTATAAAATAAATTACTAAAAAATACAATGTAATATATATTACCTCAAGATATATAAACTTATATCCTTTAAAATCTAAATACTGATATAAATCTTACTTTAATATATTGTTGTATAAATATGAATCACTTTAGATAAGGTGTGGCTGAGATACTGGATCTTAAAAAGTGACTGTTTAATATGGGATACGGAGGTGGCCCGCTCGTTGGTGTGGCCCGCTCACCAGTGAAATACGTTATATAGGGCAGGCTTCCGAAAAGATTACTCAGGCTTATTGCCAAGAACTGTACCTTGGGACCCCCGGACCGGAAACTACTCAACTTACCTTAGGAGCATAGTAGGCAGTCACTTGACATAAAGCCAGCGCTTGTTCACCGCTGCCTGATTGCTTTCCCGCTCTCACACTAAAAGCCATCTTCAATCCCATCCACACCACCGGTAGATAATGAAGTCAAATATCTCGCACTGGCTGTCTCTTTGTGTCGCCGCACTAGCCGATCTTAGAATTGCCAAACCCGTACAGCAAAAGCCTCTCATCGGCGTGGACGTTGTGGTCAGAGAAGACAAAGTCCCCGGCCACAACGATGCTATATACGATACCGTGCCAAAAGAAGACCAGCTATTGGACGTTGAGTTCCTTGAGATTGCCCCGACGCCTATTGTCGCGTAAGACCCCCTCCTTGATATGCCCCTTAATGGTGACATCCTGGCATCCTGAAGCGACCGCGTCTTTTTCGTCTACCTGCGCGGCGATCTATCTGAATCCAAAATGAAGGAACTAGGTCTCTTTGATGAGGGCCTCATCGATGCAACCCTCTCTGTAAGCGGCTCTGTTGTCTACCCAGATGGTAGCTACACGGAACCAAGGTCCCTTACAATGCCGTTAAAAACTATATCCATCAACGATGCAGCCCATCTCATCATTCGCAATTCTAATGGCACTCAGGTTGACTACCTACCTACTAGCGGCCGCAGCGACATATTACTAGATTTCCAGATTCCTACAATGTTTTTGAAGAGTGGTATGTGGACTTTCAAAGTCGACGCCAGACTCGGAGATAAAGACAATTCATATCTATTTGCCATGTCGTTGCCACAGTGTTTAGACGGGGGGCTTTGAGAAGTAGGGTATTTGGAATATCTATATAATTTTTCCAGGACTTTCTTACCTGCAGTTAAAAGCCGCTGGGCTTAGTGATATAGACTTTTAGCTCTGGGTAGATATGATCTTTCTGCTAGTCTTTCTTTGGACAGGCCTCCTGCAGTATATTAAGCAAAAAGATCTCTGACAGTTCCAGCTTCTTTATCTTCTATTAGACATGAAGAATCTTAAACTGGCTATTTAGGCTTGGATTTAGTTTAATATACAGGATTATTTCTATTAGCTATAGTATTCCACTATCAATCTATAGCATGTGCTGGAAAGCTACCGGGATATCAGCAAGGGAATCTATTCTATAAGCGGATATAATATAGCTACCATACAGCGGCTGAGATATCTTCTATCTGCCAGATCCTCCTGTGGCAGTACTGCTATCTTAAAAATACCAGGTACAGTACTAACTGTTAAGTGGCTTCTGTCCACTATTTTATGTATTTTATTTTCTAAATAGCAGCGGTAGACTTGTTAGGCCCGCGGGTTGGGCCGGGTTTTTCAGGTTTTGCAACCCAGCCCGTTGGGTTTGGGCTGGGTTAAGATTATAGGCAAACCACCCACGGGTCAAAATATATATGTGAACCACCCGCGGGGACCATATTCAAGTCGTACGATATGCCGTAGCCTAGTTGGACATGCCGGTAGCGCCATTGAATATTCCATGCCCTAATAAGGATAATGTCTGCCGACCAGCCCGTTGGCAGGGACCTAAGAAGGAAAAAGTCAGACTACGAAAACTGCTTTCAATGACGAAGGTTCTCGCTGACAGCTTTCCTTAAGCGATATGATATTGCGAGGCTCTAAAAAGACGCCTCACAGGTCTGACAGACTCGTTCACAAGTTGTAGAGTCTCGCAAAAAAACTACCTAAAGAAGCCTAGTGTTGTGGGGTCTGAACGAACCTATGCCCCTCAGAACACTAGAGTTTGGGCTGTTTTAATCAAAACTCGCTTTCACGACCATATTGCCGTCCCTTCGCTTTCCCGCAGATGTGACAATGGAGGCCAGGTGGCTTGCTCACCGCAGCTACGCAACTTGGGCACCGGAGTAGCCATCCTACTCTCCTGTTACAGCATATGAGGAACCGTCGAGAGGTCCTCAGGTAAACTCAGCTGCAGGGTTCCAGGTCAGCCAAGTGCCGCGGCAGTACAACCAACATTTGTACCGAGCCATTGGGAAGACCTGGTGATAGTGCTGACCCTGAGATGTCGCCTCCGCAATCTTGGGGGACCTCTTGAAACGGAGAGACCGCCGTGTAAGATGGCTTGGTGCTATATCTCGCTCGGAACCGCGGAAACTGAGTCCGCTGAGCCGATCACGATTAAGCCATAGGGAAGGCTATGTAGTATGTTTAACTCTCACAAGACAAGTGAATCGGCAACATGGCCACATTTGGTGGCCTTTGCTTATCTACCGGTACCATGACCAGTCGTGTCTGCCATTGTCGCACAACTGGGTGAGACGCTGTATTTCAGAAGCATAGTTGCTGAGGCGTCAAACTCATCGTGAAGTGCTTCTTGGCTCATACCAGTATTATTAATATCATAAGCGCTTCTCCCGTTTAAGATGATCCGCTCGCTAAAAAATGACCCTTCTTGGACGTGTGGACTGCCTACTAAAACGACCAGTGGGCTTAGCATGCCACTGGACTAAGCTAGCTGTTCACGGGTGTGTAAGCGAGGATGGATGATGTATATAAGTACACCTCCTTAACTATCAGCTTATGTCTAACGCTTGAAAAAGACAATCTTCCTCACATTGTCCCTCAAAGCGAGCAAAAGTCGATTCGTCAACTCAGCCTTCGTTATCCCTCCTTGATCAACGCGTATTAACTATGGTTAAGGTAGATCGCCCCCCGGCCAACGGCTTCGTGGCCGTAGTACGGAAAATATACAACCCCATCGGTTTCTACAAGGGCTACAACTTCGTCCTCTGGGCTATTTCCGCCGGCGCGCTGCTGGGTTTCTCTCTCGCCCGTCTGATGTACCTCGATATCGATAACATCTTTTGCCCTGAAGACCAGCGTAAAGCCAATGCTCTTCCGGGCGAGTGCTTCTACTACCAGTCTACTCGAGGTCGCGTTGGCATTCTTCTTCACCTTGGCGCCATCCTTCCTGCCTGTATCCTCGCATTCCTGCAGTTTGTGCCCGTTATCCGCCACAAGCTTCTTCTCTTTCACCGCATCAACGGCTACGTGGTCATCCTTGACTCTTTTGCAGGCATGGGCGGCGTTTTGATGATTGCGGAGCACAGCTTTGGCGGTAGCTTGAGCATGCAGATTGCAATTGGGTTGGCTACCGTCATCTTCGTCAGCTGCAAATGCATCGCTTTTTGGAACATCAAGAGACTCCAGATCGAGCAACACCGTGCTTGGATGATCCGAGCTTGGGTCATTGTGAGTAACGCATTTAACTCTACCTCATACGGTTTGGAGGTGCTAAAACCCATAGGCTGGCTTTATTATCACCATGCGCTTAATCGGCATTATTACGGCGAAGGTGCTTGTTGCTCTTGGCCCGGAGGGCTACTATGAGGCTCGTCCCTGCTCTGTCATTGACTTCATGTTCTCTGGAAATCAAACTTTGGTGGAATCAGTCCACCTAGATTGCGCGGCCTTCTATTCGGGTGCCGATCCAGACCGCCACGTCCTCGTCGATGCTTTTGGCAGCAATGGTTCCGGCAAAGTCGACCAGGTCGCCTCTGGGCTCAACCTCAGTTTTAGTGCCGCGGCCTGGCTTGCTGTCGCCATCCATGTCTTCGCCGCTGAGCTTTATCTCCACCTCACTCCCGCTGAAGCCACCCGTCTGCGCCGTGTGTCCTATCAGCGGCAGCTCGAGGCGGGCATGCGTCGGCCGGGGAATGCAGGTCTGACCGCCGAGAGGCTTGGCGACGCAGACCCTTTTTTGGTGCCAGAATCGTCGCAGGAGAAGATTGTCTCTGAGATTGTGACCCAGAGGTAGGCCAGAAACGGATTTAGCCTTCGATGAAGTAGGCGCTTATTAAGCTTCTCATATGAGGCGGGCATAACCTTGTCACAAAGATCACCCATGATGAGAACGAGAGAGACGGCCTTATCGCTTACTCGGTAGACAGGTAGCATGACTAATTTATATAGTGTTGTGGTTTCAGGAGAAGAAGGGCAGAATGAGGCTTTATCAGCTACACACACGTAGCCTAGTAAGGAGCGGATGCCATTCTATAGATACTCAATTCTATATGACTATATCTATCATCGTTGCTTGCTTCCTTAAATATCTCATGGGTCAAGCCTACAGGGGCTTTGATTGATTAATTGATTGACTGATTACTACTTAACATCACTTGGCGGACCACGCGGCCATGTGATCCGCGGCCTCCCCAGGGTAACTGGACGTGCTACCTAAACAAAAACCCCACTAGGAACTAGTTAAATACATGTTTGAAGCAACAAACCTGAGCAATATATGATGGAAACGAGTGGAAGAAGCGCCTGGCGCTACCCTGACTTGGTCTGCCAGAGGTGGGGATTGGCTATCTATAGATAGGAGAGGGTGCTATCCTCTTCTATCTAGGCAGAAATATAGACTGTTGCACTATTCAGTGCCTGAGAGTGCCCAGTTCAGGCATATATTCTTGAAGAAGGATGAATCTTGCATGATACGGCTGAACACTTCAGCCCCAGGAGCTGTACTAAGGAGCCAGTCAATTGTCTTTGACAGGCCAGCCTTTAGACACTTCCATCTATCCCTCCAGCGCTTCCTGGTGTAAGGGAAGAAGAAAAAGTGGGCAGGAGACTTTAGCCTGCTGCAGGAGCAGGTTACTAGGTAGTCTGGATGGTGCAATCTTTTATGGTATGCTGCAAAACCGCCATGGCTTGTACGGGTGGCTATAAGCCAGCCTAGTTAGTACCCAGCAAGCCTTCAGGGGCTAGAGATCACGTGGTCTTATGGTTTTGTACCATATAGGTAATTGTCAAGTTAGGCACTCCTATAATTAACTATGGTATATCAGCTAAACACTGCCTGGTGCCTTACAGTCCATACATCAATCAGACTCTCTTTAAAGCTTGAAGCTGGGTAGTAGTAGAGTCGCGATAACAACAAATGCGCAATCATGCAAGTACAACCAGTGGCTCTAAGACTGGCTTCTAGGATACGAAACCTCATCAGAATTGCGAATAAGAAGACTCTGAATGCCTTAGTCAACGAAGGTGCCGAGACATTTCTGCATGCAATGACAAATGGGGAGAACCACTGGGCAATATGAATAGGCGCACGACTCAGTTGGTGCAGCCGTTTCTCGACCCGCTGGTAGACACCCCTATCATCGACTTGCATGGGTGGCGTCGGGATATTATCTCTGCGGTAATCATGGAAGTGGTATATGGCCCTCTAGCTCCATATCAAGACAAAGAAATCCTGGGTGCAATTTTGGTGAGCGCCCTTAAGTCTGCATATAAATTTCTGATCGTGATTACTGAGCCTGCATAATGTCTTCAAACAGAACTTGGCCCCTACCTCACAACACACTCCCATGGTAGACACAGGCAAAGCCTGATAGGCCGTAAGAAGGTTTCAAAGGCGCGGTTGAAGTATCGCCACATAAATTGCATCGAAGGCACCCCGAGATAATTGCCGTGCGGTATAGAATGTCAATGGAACGTGGATTCTCTCTGGGAGGATTCTCCAGGCTGGAGGCGGGCATGAGCCTTGCGCTTGTCGCCAACACCGTGCCATCCTTTTTCCGGATAGAGATTAGCTCTTCTTATAGAGAGCTGTCTCCTCGGGAGCAACTAACCCTAGTTATAAATTTTGTGGCCATTGTAGTGGGCGGGGCTGTGAGTGAAAGCTAATCGGCGGCTCCAGCCCAAGTGACGGAGAACCGTACATCATCCTATTCCGTTCTCATCCTATAGGCCCCAGGCTAGGTGACACGACTATCCATACAGCATACCCACTGCATAATCTCCACCGTATTGGTTAGGTCTTGCTGTGCGGGGCGTAGTGGCACCGAGCGCCCAGGGATTTTGAGGATGACTCTCCAGAGTTCCAGCTAAAGGTCGACCAACCCAACTAATGCCCTGCCTTTTACTGTAGCGACTTATGTTTACTGTAATTAATTATGATAAATGCCTCATCTTCTGTATGTGTCGTATATATCTAGCTAGTCATCCCACCCTTTAGGTATCGCTCTTCCGCCGTGATGGGTTGATGGCTCTTACGCCACGTGAATAAGATGGCTGGGTAGCAAAAATTGGTAACTGAGGGTCAGCATTACGAAGGCAAACAAGGAGTGTTTTTGCTCTCAGTGTCAAAAGACAAAATGACGTAGGGTGCAGCCGCCGCTGAGCCAACGTAGACCTAAATATAACACCACGTTTACAGCACTTGTGATGTTCGAGAATCACAGTGCCCTGTAACAGGAGGCAGCAGTTTTCTCCCTTAGTTTGAAGTTATAAGCCAATGGCATTTCATTTTAGGTACTTGTCAAAACTGACTGAGACACAAGGCCGTCAACAAAGTCAGACAATGTGACTGAGGCCACTAAAGCCATTGTGGTTCTGATTAAGGGCCAATCTTTTCACATACTTCTCGAGTCGCGATTTGGTGATCGTCATCTAAACCCACCTCCTACTCCCCACAAAGGTAAAGTTAATTATGCTCCAATTTCCTCTGCGTAAGCGTGATATATTCCTTTCCAAGGGGTGGCGAGCGGCAAGTGTCAGCATTAAAAGGCCATTCATATCTTAACTTCGTGCTGGTGCCAAACGTAAAAGAAACATGGAATAAAGGGAACTGATAGGGGCACCACCGGTTTTACTCGGGAGACTACTTTATGCAATCATACAACCACTGAGTAATTTCCACCAAATTTTCCCTACTTCAGCACAGCGACACGCCAAAAACCAAAAAAGAAAAAGACAAAATATTCCATCTGCCACGAGTTGTGATGGCTTTGACACCTACTAGATTCTCTGAGCTCTGACTGGCTGGTTACGGGGCGCGTGTTGGTATACAGAGCAGCCAGTGTACACTATCTGTGTTACTCCTTCTTTCCTCCCCATGTTTAGTGTTCTAGGTTTAGTGTTCTAGGTTTTAGCTACCAATGTCATATTGTCTGAGCTCCAACCAGCATCGATCAGTGCTTGGTTGCCACCACCCTCCCTTCCAGTCCTTCCGTTGGGATTGCTGAGGAACTCATTCCATTTATTCAAGATTGCTTTCAGAGACTCATTTACCCTGGGATCGAGGAAGAATTGATGACCGCTCTCCGTACCCATCGGCCAGTCAACAATGATATCAAACGGAAACCTAATAAGACCGCCGGGTACGTTGGGGTTATCCACCAAAAAGTACTCTGGCACTTCAGTCAAGAGGGTATTGAAGAGATATAATATGGTTTTGTAGTCCCGCACTTGTTTTTCTAAGTGTGGTTGGGTCCCTATCGTATGGGGCCTTTTCAGGGACCTCATTGAACATGGAGTGGGCAAGCATATAGAGAGTTGAATTATTTTCAATTAGGTCCCTCAGTGTGTCAACCGGGTTCTGCTCGCCATCTCTCAACTTTCGGGGAATTTCTAGCTTCGCCCTATCCAGGAGGTGAGATAGCCAGGCTCAGCGAAGTCCAACGTTCTCAGGCATCCAGTGGCCGTAGCCATGAGTGGCACTCCCGGTTGCCAGTCCACCCAGGCTGGGCTTCGCGTAGGCGGATAGGTAGAATTTCTGCATCTTCAAGGAATAGTATCGTATCTGGTTTAATTGAACGGTACAAGGGAGAAACTGTTGGTGTTTGAGATCTAGGAGACACAGAATTATTGACCCATTACTTAGGTTATTCTTATACTTCAATTTCCCAGTATAGAGTAGGTACTACATCCATTCTAACCCATGGTTACACGTATTTTGAGAACTTGGGAACCTTGTGATCGATGAGGTTTACACGCAGAACACGTAACCTCATATGCACGAAGTAGCATCTTCCCTGCAGTTCAGCTGAAACCAACATAACCCTCTTAGATGGCACGACCCACCTATGAACTGTATACTGGTACGAAGCAGGGACTCGATTTGCTGGAGATCGCTGGGGATCTTCCGTGAGTTTCGAACCATGGTTGTCTCTGTACGAAGTGCGCTGTCACTTGAACTCTATCCATAATCTAGAATTCTACTTTCATTTTTAGCTTTATATACTCTCTCAGGGAGCACGGACATTGTACACTCTTAGCTTGGATTCATGCGGCTAGAACAGGCTTCTGAAACCACGCTGCAACATGGACTAGGACTTCCCCGCAACGGGCACCTTTCTCAAGAAAAGCTAATTGGTGGCTAGCAAGGCAGTCTCCACAACATGCATATCTCCCAACATATGTTATATCATATCCGCCAGTTCAGCTGACAATAAGTGAGGTGGGAGCTGTTTTCTTTCACAGTAAGCTTGGGGGGTCTGCCAGGTGGGGTACAGTGGGAAAAAGAGGGGTATGAAGAATATTAAAATTGCTTTTCAACATGGTCATTGCTCGCGACACCCTGTCGAACTTCGCTGAACTCCGCGAATTGGCCTGGAGGAGCTGGAAGAAGCTAATGGGGAGGTGAAGCACGGTGCCCTCTGACGTTGGAACGCTACGCTCACATTCAGCAGAAAAGGGTGGCGGCAGAGACTGTGACCAATTTCAGGGAAGTCCGCCAGGGTTGGCTTATACACCATACCACTTGGTAGCTTTAGGCGCATCTCTATTCAGCGGTCCGAACGGCACAGCAATAGTTCCTTTTGGCCGGATGCAGTATTATCTTGCAGTGTGACCAGGTTTATTACCGTCAGTGGATTCTTACCTCAGAAGCACTCTACAGCTTTTTACCAATACCAATTGCTGCCTCATACCATGTAGATTGTCAGCAACATAAGGAGCTATCACTGGATGCTAAAGTAGTCTATATTGCCAGCGCTCCGGTCCCTTTTGTGAACAGGAACGGTCCAATTATCATCCCCGGTCCCTGTCTGAACTGAACCTCATCGTTGCGGTAATAACCAATAGGCCGCTCATTGCCCCCACGAAATTTCACTAGAAAGTTGTATAGAGCGTTCATGCTGAAATATTTACATGAAATAAGATAACATGTAATGATCATGAATTGGCACGGGATCGCTGCAGCGGTGCTGCAGCTGAGCTGAAGGATTTGTAATGTTCTTTCTTTCAAAACGCCTATCACCAATTACCCTTCGATAAGGTAGTCGTACAGCGCGCGATAATAACCGTATTAAGTCCGTTTAGAGCGTAATAGATGGTATTTTTGGCTAGGGACGTAGTAACCCATGATTGGGGGGAACAATCCAAATGAGCTTGTCAATTCCTACCGCTTCTGGGCTTACCCGCTCTAGATAGAGATCATTGCCATTTTCTAATATGACTATTGAGAGTGCCAAGCTTGCCTTCCGAAATTTAGATGTTTTGGTAGGGCATAGTTTATTCTTCCTTCCCGCACTTCATAACCGGGTATTCACTTTTACCAGCATTTCTAAGGAGAGATGCTGAAAAGACACAATCCATTTTACATCAGTTACTTGTCATGAGAGTAGTGTGAGGTAATTACTTATACCATGGAATGTCAAAATAATGCGGCATTTTGTTATCTATAGTGATAAGGGACGGGACGATCCACTCTTTCAGCTCCGCCACTGTATGCAGATTCTCCAGCTGCAGGAGCTTTCATCATGCATAGCGGTGGCACCGGTTACTACTGATGAGTTAGGTAACATCATAAAGTTTGCCTGCTAGCTCCTCAACCCACCACTGATCTACACATAATGGTAGATCTTAGATGTGTGAGAATAGTGTTCTCAATTCTCTCGCGACCAGTGGTTTTCAGTTGACGTAAAAATTGCGTTTCTAGGAGTGACTTGCGGTATCCAACTACACCGTCATATACATTAGAATATTCGATATCACCCCTCTCCTTCGGGCATATTGAGCTCTGGAGTACTGACGACTCTCCTGCAGACCGAACGCCAAGACATTCCAGTGGATTCACTGTGGATGACTGTGTAACATTGTACATATGTAGCATTTCCATTTCAGCTGGACAGTTCATGTACCATGGATCACAGGAATGCTGATCAACCATTTATCGATACAGCTGAGAAATGCATGCCAAAAAGGTCTTTCCTATTGAGGAAGCTAGCTTCGATGTCAATTACCTCCTTACACCTCTTTTGGTCCCTGTTTTATACATTATGTCAACATCTATTGTATTCGGAATACACCAGTAATTCTATGACCAAAGATATCAATGCATGAGGGTGTGAATTCCTGAACCTCTGCCTCTATCTCACTACGAAATACTGCTCAATTTGATACGTGTATCAATAGTCAAAATAGGGCAAGTGAGGTCAAAGATGATCATGGCGATGGCTGACTTAGTTGGCGTTTCCTAATTCTGAAATAGTGGTCATTTTGGTTGATACATTATCATATGTTTTTCTAATGTACTTTTATTGATTTGGCTAATGTCATCATGTGGGGTAGCATTGATGTCTTGATGACCGAATTCAACTTTTCTTCTTGATTATGATCAAGGCGATAAGGCCTAGACTCAGTCCCAAATATCTATATATACGGCCCTAATCCCTGGCTATATTTATGGGTATATATTTGTCTTCAGATTTTTAGTCAACTGGAGCGTTTAGGGTCTTTGACTCTTATTTCGGTCCCATTGCCTATTTGAGAATCACAAACTTCTGCAGCGAACACAATCTGACTTTTCCATCCTTAACGCATAATAGGGGAAGCGGCTTAACAGTGCCCCAAAATTCTCCCTTTTACGTCTTACCATGGGGATCATTTCGCGCTTCCTTGTCGTGATAGGCGGACTCCTCCCTGCCATTGTGTTTGGGGCTGAACCGTCGACTCCATTTTTCCCTTCATTGGACCCATTCTATACGCCGAAGAAAGGGTCTTGGGAAGAACTGGCCCCCGGAACAATCATAGGCTGCCGCCCAGTACACATCAATTCACTCCGTTACGGCATTCAATCTACCGCCACAGCATATCAACTCCTATACGTCACCAAGGACCTGAACAGCAACCCAGCCCACTCAGTCACAACAATAGTCATCCCCAAAAACGCAAAGAGGGACCGACTACTATCCGTGCAGCCCGCCTACGACTCGCCAGATATTAATTGCTCTCCCTCATATGGGCTCCAGGTTGGCGCGGTCGGCCCCTCACTATCCTGGAATATGATGGATTTATCCTTCGTGGAACCGTTCGTACGAGACGACGGTCCAGTCCTAAATATTCCTGACTACGAGGGCTGGAACGCTGCTTTTACTGTGGGCCCGCAGACAGCCTACCACACACTCGACTCGATCCGTGCGGCATTTAACTTCAAGGATGAAATCGACCTCCAGCCTAACGCCAGAACAGTACTATACGGGTTCTCCGGTGGTGCGTATGCTACCGAATGGGCTTCCGAGATGCAGCCCAGTTATGCGCCGGAACTGACCCAGATTGTGGGTGCTGCCATGGGCGGTCCTCCTCCCAACATTACGAACACCTATATTCACTGCGATGGGGGGGATTGGGCGGAGCTGAACGTGTGGGCAGTGCTGGGAATGATGAATGCTGTTCCCGAGATGAAAGAATACATCGACAAGGATCTGCTGGATGAGCACCGCGAGGAGTTTTATGGTCCCATGAAACGCTGCAGTCGCCACTTCGGCGTAGAAGATGTTCCCCCGTCTCTAGCGTTCAGGAACATCTCATCCTTTTTCAAGCACGGGGACCATTTCCTGTATAGATTCCGTGATACCCTGGATCACCTTGGCGTCATGGGGAGGACTGGGGCCCCTAAGTTCCCCATGTATATCTACCAAGGAACGAAGGATGAGATCGTGGATCCGATCGGAGTCACGAATCAACTTGTTCGTGGGCTCTGTGAGAAGGGTGGTAATGTACGCTACGTCCAATACCCTTGCACGAATCATATGAATACCTTGATCAAAGGGGGAATTGCTGTTTGGATCTGGATTGGGAATCTCTTGTCAGGCCGGCCCACGATACCGGGATGTCGCTATGAGGACTTGAACCCGCCGATCGATGGATCTGACGATGGCTGTCCGAAGGACGGGGAAGAAGCTCTGGGGATGGATGAGTATTATTCGGATTTTGAATTCTTCGGACGGGACGAACTCAAGTGACCTGCTAAGCTTTTAGATGGTTCAGTATGCCCTATGGAGACTTTATATATTCATTACCGACATCTTGAATAATTTAAAGCGATCTAAATATGCGAGGCATGTCCAAACGGGATCTTGATTACTGCAGAGTTGGGGAGTATGTAAAAGTGTCTTCCTGCTTTAGGACCATCTCTTGACAATATGATAAGATGTCTGTATTACGATTTGCTCTGTCTACCTCTTGACAATTCTTGGAATGGCAGATCATCGTAGAAAACGAGAAAAACAAGGCCAAATACATTGTCCTTATATTTTGGAAAACTTCTCCGGACGTCTTCAGTTTATGTCCTTGAGGCTAGGAATTGATTGAATTGTACGAGTAACCATCTTGGAAATAAGAACATTAGCAGCATAACTGGCTTAGGCCGGGGTGGTGTAATTACGAAGTCTTGAAATCTTAACTGATTTTCCCATTCAACTACACTTCAAGGAGCTTGATCCTGGTTAGTTGTTATAATTTCCAACAAGTAAAAACTTTGGAATCTCTATTCAGACACTTCTCAGTAATTACGCTGTATTATATAGCAAACCCTGCCAAAATATATAGTTCTTGTAAACATCAATTGTATTCAGAATACACTAGTAATTCTATGGCCAAAGATATTAATACATGAGGGTCTGAATTCCTGAATCTCTGCCTCCTTCTCACTATTAAATACTGCTCAATTTGATATGTGTATCAATAGTTAAAATAGGAAAAGTGAGTTCGTTGGCTGACTAACCTTGTATTTCCTAATTCTGAAATAGTGGTCATTTTGGTTGATAGTTCTCTTGTTCATATATTATACTTGATCGAAATATCCCTTATTCATCAACAAAATTGCGGGAGATAGTGCTAAAAAGTTGCGCTATTGTGATGAGATTTCCTGCTTACCCTTTCAGATACTGTCTGCTATTCGACTCCGGGAACGTTGAGCGGGACCAAAGCCACTTAAGGCTATCTAACGTATAGAGCGATCATGGTGATCTAGGCCACGGAACTTGTGGCCGAGAGGAGGGGTGGAATTGATGGATATCCTCCAGCCCCCCTGCCACCATGTATTAGGATTCTCCAAGCTTTAGACTCGTACTGAATGGACCTACTAGTTGCGCCTAAGATTCTTCCATTGCGTTTCCTTGCCTAATCGACAGGTGTTCCACGCTGATAAGCAGTTTCGTTACAGTTACACTGAGATAGTACCTCAGATATGTTTTAAAATAATATTATGTAATAAAAAGGTGATTTTCTATACTATATTAGCCCTTGATTTGCACTGACCTGTATATACGAATTGACAGGATTTCCCAAGCTAAATGGCTTGGATGTTTGAAGACAGGCAAAGAGCACCATACGTCAGTCAACACGTCCATAAACGCAAGAGGGCACAAGCTCTTATGGATTCTGAAACTTCAGAAAAAAGACAAATTTGCTGTCAGGCATATAATGGACCGCCCTCGTCACCGTCCTCTTGTGCAATCCCTTTGACTGTTTTCCCAGCCTTCTGCCTAGTACTACAATGAGGTCAAACTTAGTATACTACAACGAGTAGTCATAGAGAATCATCGTTTTGACTAAGGGAAGCGATACGGTGATGTTGAGACCTAGGTTAGCGACAGCCTGAAGAGTCAGATCTCAGTACCATGACAAAAATGCGACTTGCAAAATCATTGTGGATCGTCTATCCACGGTAAACCTACGGCGGACTGAATCGAGCAATTGGCCAAAATGAAATTTTACCAAGGTTACCAACGGCCACGCACACTGACAATTCCTCAAACTAGTAGTATTTTTGCACCACCAATATCACTGCCCCGGCCAATACCTCACCAGCTGCCTTAGTTCTTATCTTGACGCATTTTTTATGAGCATGTTCTTAGTGGAGCGTAAGAACAAAAAGTAAGACTGTTTTCTTCCAGCCAGAGAAAGTATTTTCAGTGTAATAGTAAGGATATGGTATAAGTTTATATATATTCTTTTTTCTACTATAGATATGTTAAAGTAAAGTAAACATGTAGATATAATTAAATATATTATTTAATAGCTTTTACAGAGCATTCTTTAATAACTGTATTACTAAAAAGAAAATATAACTTAATTAAAACTTACTATCTTTTATTTTCTAAGAAAAAGTGTGAACAACTTCTCTAAATTAATCGTAAGGTATTCTTTAAACACTAGTATTACTGTCACAGATTAAATAGCGATTCGGCCTAATGACTGTACCTGATCTAGGTGTGTAGACAATCGGCCACTGATGAGGAACATCAGGCTATATGACAGATTAGATTTAAGAAAGATTCTGAATCCTTTAGGCATGGAGTCTTTAGCTATAAATTACCAAATTGTTAGTAATAGTAGGAGATCAAGAATCAGTCTTCTATCTGAATAGTATCTACTGCCTGTCTTTAATCTCCCTCTTTCTTTTAGCCTACGTACCCTTACCTAGTTGACAGGTCCTCTACCCTAAATAGTAGATACCCGTAATAAGTATACTACAATTATATTAGTTATAAACCAAAGATCAGTTAACTACAAAAGCTAAATAATTATTTACTTAGTAATCAATTGTTTATATGGAAAGAAAGATTTGTTTGGCGTGGCAATTGAGATTTCGCCAAGGTTCCGGTAAAAAATCCATTATGGCCAATTGCTCGATTCAGTCCGCCCTATAAACCTTCTTCGACGATACTACGAAAAACGGATTCCAGGTAAAAATGATGTTCTACTACCTAAGTCATACCCTAATAAGCTGTAGGGGACAGAACAAAAGAGATTAGGGTCATTGATCACCCTCTAGTCGTCAAAAGGATGCTTGATTATCTCTACCTCAAAAGCCTGTGGGGAACAATCATCGTATATAGGTTGAACATAACTGATGTATGCCTATCTCCTAAGACCGACCTTTCGAAAAGCAAAGGGTACAGATAATAATATGGAGATTCCAACATTAACATGTTCATTCACACCGCTAGTTGGCTAACATGTCTAGGGAGTGAATGGATTTAGTCTCACTACTACATAGGATCGCGTTTCTTGCCAGCGTTTCTATTACGAATGGTAGCTATACCAGGCCGCAGGAGATAGATAGATTTTCTAGCTAATGCAAGTTGTCAGGAGCTAGAATTTGGTCTGGACTAACGGCTCTCACTGCACTTTCCTCCTTGATCTGCTATTTTGCGTGGTTTCCCTTTTCTCAAAAATTGCATGTTCATCTGCATGGCTGGGTATGTACACTGGAGAGAAATTTCCCAAATGCGACCTTTATCTTCTCCATTATTGCTTAAACAGCCCTCTGAGAGAAATGCGATTCGTACCTCTCCTTTGTACCCCATGGCTCACTCTGAGCCATGTGTAGGCAGCTGCTGTGTTTGCCAACTTTATGGTATGTCACTAGATAACGACGGTATATTTTGAGACTAACCATACATGCAGATGGGAAGTGTTCCAACTTGAGGGCTGTCAAACTGGATGCATGGCACTAGGCTCGCCACCGAAGCACATATTGATGCCTTTGCTCTGAGCTAGAATGCGCAAAAGAGCTCGGGGTTGGGGTCGATTTCTCTGCTTGATCATTGGCTAGGCCAGTAGTTTCTATATAATCTCTCTCTGTAGTATGCAGTAATTTTATTTTGTATTTTTTTTAGATTATGCATATCATATCTATCTATTTATTTTTTTTATTATTTATTCACAATTCTTCTTATTTCAGCTTATAAAGCTCTATTAGGCTCTCTGCCTTATCTTGACTCGCATTCATGTCCAACTAGGATCTGGAGGTGGTGTTGGTAAAATATCGTGATCGGAAAACTCATGCGAATCTTCTTTATTACAGTTACATCTCCAACAGGTCGGAACCCCGATAGGTTCTGAATCCAAATGATGACAAGACATCAGCCTTTACGGCTGATACTGACAGCTCAATGTAAATTATGGGTTCGTTCAGGCAGTCCAGCTAAGTTTTAGGGGAACTGGGGAAGAACCTCAACAAGGTGGCAACAACTAGACTTGTTAGGCCCGCGGGTTGGGCCGGGTTTTTCAGGTTTTGCAACCCAGCCCGTTGGGTTTGGGCCGGGTCAAGATTGTATGCAAACCACCCATGGGTCAAAATATATATATGTGAACCACCCGCGGGAGCCCACAGCTGTAGATCCTTTCCTAGTAAAGCAATAATTTATATTCTTGATAAAATACAGTCTCTTAATACTATAATTTATTTATATTACTATAGGTAAATAATATATTTACTGTATTTTATCTCTTGGCAACCCACAGGTTAACCCGTTGACCCATAGGCTGGAATAGTCAATAACCCGGCCCGGTATGGACTTTCATATACACAAACCCAGCCCATTTCTTGGCGGGTTGGGCCGGGTTGGGCCGGGTTTCGTGGGCTGGGCCTAACAAGTCTAGCAACAACTCTACCAACAAATTAGCAAAATTTTCAATAGTGCAAGTAGAGTTAGGAAGAAAAAAAATTGTTTTAGAAAGAAAAAGTGCAGGAGGCAGGTTTCACTGGGGTCACTGGTGGTCACTCATTCAACTACTAACCTGCCGACGTATGGCTTGTGCCATGTTGGGAAGCCGGCTTCTGTTCTTCAGGCCAGATTTGTGTTATTTATTTGGTTTTTATTTATTTGCGCCGACCATTGACATCAAGACCTAGGCGTATAGGTAGGGCAAGATCATAGGCTACTGGTTGTTTTCTATGGGTTTTGTAGATTTATGTCTAAGCTATGGAGCTGTGTTGCAAAAGTTATCTAACTACGCTAGTGTAAGCTTGGCATTCAGCGTGTAAGTGCTTTACCATATAAACTAGTAGGGCACCTAATATTGGAAATAGAGATATTTTTATCAAAAATGCAAATATCTCAATGGAAAATGAAGCTATTCAAGCGCCTAGACAAGGGCTCCCTGACCTAGATCCTGGCGTTTAGAAAGCTGTCCCTTCAGGCAGCCCCTATTCCAATCCCGATTATTGTGG